ATTTAATTAAATTAAATTTTAGAAAGGTTTATTTATTAAAAATATTAATATTTAATAATAAATTAAATTTTTTTAGAAATTATACAATTTAAATTACAATATTGATTATTGCAAATTAAAATTAGAATCTTAATGACTATAAATTGAAATTTAATCTTGGTTAATTATTATTTTTGAAAAAAATATATTTTGAACTTCAAAAACAAAATGTTGTAAAAAAAATAAAAATATTTATATTATATGTAACATTTTTCAAAAGTTTAGGGGGCATTCCGTTAGTCAGTTAACGGAATGTTTGTCAAGTAGATCATTTTGAAAGAAAAAATTGTTTCTAAACTAAACTGAAATAAATTACATAGTTAATAGACTATTTATTGAATTTAGCCTCAAGTTTCTAACCAAAGAAACAACTTCCTTCTACCTTTCTGGTCACTTCTATCCATTAAAACCCTATTAAAATATGTATATATATTCCTATGCATAACCATTTTTAAAACATGCCTAAAGTAGCAACAAAAGACCCTACATATGGTGGGTTTACTAGGTAGATTTGCTCGACAAAATAAAGTGAAAAATATGAGAAAACCAAGCTCAAAACTACCACAAATAGTAGCATAAATTATGAGCAGCTTGGTGGGGATTTTTGCTATTTATAACAGTTTTAAAATGCTTGGAAAGAGCCCTAAATAATAGGGGGTTTGTAGGCAAAAATAGCAGAGAATTATGGGTACAATCAACAACAATTTCCAGGTAAAATAGTAGCAAAACAGTGCAGCATTCGAGCATCAATGCAATAGCAAAAAGGCAGCCAAAACAAAGCAATAACAAGGGGTTTTAGAGCAAGCAAATAGCAGCTAAAGTGTATTAAAACCATGGTGTAATATGGCAGTAGGTACTATAGGAATAAAGCAGAAAATAAAGCAAATTTATGGGTACTTTTTTAGGGCAATTTTCATATCACAAGTTCCAACAAAATTTTCACCCAAAAATTGACTAATCTGGGTTGAGTGGTCAATATATAAATTGTAACCCTATGTCTTAGTATTCTGCAGGCTCAAGAATCATCTTAATCTGATATCTACAGAGAAAGTTATGGTCAAAATACTAACAGAAGGTTGGACTACCAATTAAGTCAATCAATGAGAATCAAACTTGCAACAGAGTTTTCACCTTGAAAACAACTTAACTCGGTTAAATGTCCAATAGAAAAGTTGTAAGGCTGTCTCTTAACTTTCTACAGAATTAAGAATGAACTTAATTCAATATCTATAGAAAGCCTCATAGGCAAAACACTATTGTAAGGTCATGTTGTTAGAATTTCTAGCAAAAGGAATCGGATTTTGTGGCACTAGGGCAAAACCAAGGAGGAAAACTACAGAAAATTCCCAAAATTGAAAACCCTAAAGGATTTGAGTTAACCCAATTCAAATCAAAGAAGAAAAGATGAGCAAAATGGTTGATTTTTATTGGAAAGTGCTGAAAAATGGCAACCTCCCTTACATTGTACAAGAACTTGACATGGATTAGAAAATTTGGTGAAGCAGCAACAAGATGTGGTTGTGAATAATGATTTTGAGAACCATAAACTCATGAATCTCTAAATCTTGCTAGGAAAAGGGAGGAAAAGCTAAGTCTCACCTATTTCTAATAGAAAGAAGTTGTTTGGCGTAGGCTGAGCTTGGGGAGGAAAAATTTTGGTGAGGGCTGGGGGAAAACACGTAGAAACGAGCAAGGAAAAAAGAGAGGAGAATCAGCTTAACCCCTATTTATAACCAAATTTGACTTTTAACCCCCTTAGGTTTGTAAATTTCAGTCATTAAACCCAACAATAATAATTCTTTCCATATAAACCCCTAACTTAAATTTAAATTTTTTTGTACTAATGTATTCATGTATACATATATATGTCTAAAATTTCAAATATTTTGGGAAATTACAACTACACACTCTGTTTTCAAGTCATTTAATGTATGCTTGTATTTGCCCATATGTAGGGGTGGCAATTTAAAACCTGACCCATGAACGTATTATTAACCCGACCCGTATAAAAGGTTGACGGTCTACACTTTGTAACCCGTGACCCGTTAACAACCGATAAGGTTGACCCGAACAGGTCACAAGTCAAAAAGGGTCAACTCGAAGGTTTATGGGTTGAGCTGTTTTTTTTTTTAAAGAAAATATATTATTTTAAATTCTTGATAATATTAAACAAGTTTATTTACTCTATATTAAAACTCCCTAATCTAACTCTTCATCTTCTTCTTCCTCAACCACTATCAATCCTCTAATCTAACTCTTCGTCTTAGTTTCCCTCAATCACCATCAATCCCCTAATCTAACTCTCCGTCTTCCTCTCCCTCAGCCACCTTCAATCTTACTATGATTTTCAAATTGCTACCTCTAGACTTGCATATCAGCCACAAAGCAACTTGAAGCAACTCAAAGTTAAGTCAATTTTGTTCCTACTATCACTCACCCATTTCAATTCTCTATCAATTTCTTCTATCTTTTTTTTTTAATGGAATATTCTTGGATTTCTATAATAAGTAGTTGTTATTGTTGTTCAAGCAATGAAATTTGGGAAACTCTTAGCACGGCTTTTACATGACTTTTTTTAAGTAATGGATGAGAATAACATTTTT